AGGGTTTAGGGTTTAGGGTTTAGGGTTTGCGGGCGCTGCTGCCGCGAGCAGCTTCTTGTTTGTAGCTCGAGCCTTTAAAAACAGCAGACACAGAAAGAGACAAAGCTATGCTTTTTAACTCAAAAACCCCACACCAGGGTTTAGGGTTTAGGGTTTAGGGTTTAGGGTTTAGGGTTTACAGGTAGCACCGTGCCAGACGTAAGAAAGAGAAACCGCTATAGCTAGCCACAGCTAGCCACAGCTAGCCACAGCTAGCTGTGAAAAACTGAGTTCAGCTGGAGCTAGCTGTGGCTAGCTGTAGGTACCGGTAGCTAGCCGTAGCTAGCTGTAGCTAGCCATGGCTAGCTGTAGCTAGCTGCAGCTACCCGCAGCTAGCTGTAGCTAGCTGCAGCTCCCCGTAGCTAGCTGTAGCTAGCTGTAGCTAGCTGTAGCTAGCTGCAGCTCCCCGTAGCTAGCTGTAGCTAGCTGTAGCTAGCTGTAGCTAGCTGTAGCTACTGTAAAAGTAACTGCGATCGGTGGCGAGGGAAGATATAAAAAAATAAAAAAAAGCAAAAGATAGACAAACAAATAACTTTATCTGCTGCTTTTGTTTTTATTTTATTTATTTATTTATTTATTTTATTTATTTATTTACTTATTTATTATTTTTATTTAATTGAAACAAACAAACAGAGACAGACGAGCTGATGAAGTGTCTGCTTCGCCCCTAAAAGGGTTTTAGGGTTTAGGGTTTAGGGTTTAGGGTTTAGGGTTTAGTATTTGCTCATTATGTTTGTCTCCTCTCTCCTTTTAGCAGCAGCAGCAGCAGCAGCAGCAACAGCAGCAACAGCAGCAGCAGCAGCAGCAGCAGCAGAGAGGAGAAAAGGAGACAAAAGGAGACAGCAGGGGCTGAGTATCTGCCCTAGTATATTCAAGGGTTTAGGGTTTAGGGTTTAGGGTTTAGATAGACAAGTCTGTAGAGGGAGAGAGAAACAAAGAAACAGCAATACAAACCCTAAACCCTAAAAGGAGACAGTAGCTACACAATCAGATTGAGGGTTTAGGGTTTAGGGTTTAGGGTTTAGGAGCCTTGCTGTCTCCTTCTTGTTTCTTTTGTCTCTTCTTCTATCTTACATAAG